TTTTTTTGTTTTTTTTTTTTTTTTTTTTTTGTAAACTGGCCTTTTGTTTTTATGAAGATTTTATATGGTCCAAGGAAAAGCTACCAGGACACCTTGTCCAAATTTAGGATGGATTCGATCGAATAATACCATTTTCTTAAATATATCATTCATAAAGGATCCATAGGCCAAAATTGAGACTCAAAAGAAAAAAAATACTACGCGGAACAAGACTGGAAAATGGCCCCAAACAAGTAATTCAGATTAATTTTGGATTTCCTTTGTATAAGGCCAACCAAATAACCGGCCCGAGTTCATACTCAGAGAATCGTATCATGCAGGGCCTAAGCCCAAATGTTACTTAAACAGTATTAGGACCATTATTTTTTTATTATTATTATAATTATTAATACAATGAGTCGAGTTGGTCTCTAATCCAGTAAACTAAAAGATATTCATAATAAAATAAAATATATTTTTAATTATTACTAATTTTTTTAAAAAAATATTGAAAATAAAAATAAAATATAAGAATTTTTGTTAAATATTCTTATTGAAAAAAATTATAATTCATGTAAAGATTCGACTGTAACCCATCAATAGTAACAAACGAAGAGGAGATGCAATAGTCCCACATATGTATAGCTGCACTGTTAAGCACGATATTTAAAAGTTTGTTTTATTTATTTATGAAAGAAAGTGAGAAAAAATAAATAAATAAATGAGATGATGAATTAAATTTTGGTTGGAAAATAAGAAGTGAGAGAAAAAAAAGCGTATTTATAAATGACATATATAGTACCCTTACTAAATATGAGATAGAGTATAATAGTAATTTTGATTTTCTATTTTTTTTTTTAACTTTCTTTATCGGAGACAGTCAAATTTGGAATGGAGTCTACAATCATTTTTCTTTCCTCTCTTGTGTTGTTTTGCACCAAAAGAGATATATATATTCCTCTCCTCTCTTTTTCTCCTCCGAAACAGGGCCTAAATGCAAGGAAAAATGAGATCCAATCAATAATCACAAATCCTTTGCATATATTATCTATGCTGAATTACTGATATATATTTTTGAAGGAAAAGTATGTGGTCTAAAATTTTCTATAAGAGATATTTGCTTGAGTATTTTAAAACAAAAATTAATAATAATTAAAATTATTAACACATGATTGGTAATGTTGCAGCATGGCATGACTGTCCTGTCCTTTACCGTAAGGTACAACTTTAACTTACCGTCAAAGGACACATGAAAAATTTTACCCGAAATGTTTTAACTACAAATTATTTTACATTTTTTCATTTTTTGTGCATCTCAGTTCCCTATAAACGGAATAAAATGATGACGTCATTGATGACCCTATCATACAGATCCAACGACCAGAATTAACTATTTGTGGTATGGAACTCACCAGCAGCTTTCATGCGTAACGTTCCTATTCCTAACTCCTATTGCATTCAAATACTCAAGAGAAAGGGTAGCAGTAACATATGTAACATTTATTTTAGTGGTAGATTTGAGAGAGAGGGGGTTCAGAAGAGGAGAGGCAAATTGCAGGTTTGTGCGTGAATCTAACGAAAGTTCAGCCTTTCATTATCTTGGTACTACTTCTGCGTTAGATTCACGCACAAACTTGTGATTCGCTTTTCTTAACAATTTTTTTTTTTAATTTACACAATGTTTGTTGCATTCGATTTCGATTTCAATTTCAATGTCGGATTCAGATTTCTGTTTTGTGCGCGCACAGAGAGTCGACGTGACACCTCACGCTACCTATGGTATGGCATCTTCCGTATTGCACCTAATTTGTTTGTTTTTTTCCTCAAATTTTCCATATTTAGATATGTAATTCCGCATGCATGTAGACGAGTGCATGGTTTTGTTTTTGATTCCATTTCCATTTAACCTAACTGAATACCGGATTCGGATTTGGATTCATACTTTTTCTATTTTGATTTGAAGTTGAGAGCTTCTGAATGCAATTTGCGTGCTGTTTGTAATGGTGATTTGATGTCAGAAGGCACAAGCTCCTCCTTCTGACAAATAGTTGGTCCTTTCAATCTTTATTATATAAATGCAACAAAATATGCGCAAAACTCGTTTCACAGTGACTTACAAAATCACTAGCAGATCGCAAGATCCCGTATTTAGTATTTACTATTTAGTACCCTCTTTTCCGCAATACTCTTTGCAACTCTGTTGCTCAAAAAACGCTGCTAGAAATGGCCCAGAAGGTGGATTTGGTATTGAGTTTTTCAGCCTTTTTTCTCTTTTCTTCCGGTTAACAACCAATAATCAATAATTTTTGTACTTTTCATGTTTTTGGTAGTTTTTCATACAAAATTGGATTGTTAAGTTTGTTTAATCTTTTATTTTGAAAGAAGTGTAATTTTTAACATTCAATTATAGTTTTTTTTCCAATATAAAATATATATCGCTAATTTTTATTTATGTAGTATTGGTATATCATTGATGTGGCACTAATGTTTTAAATTTTACATTTCGATTTATATATTTGTACAAACCTTTATCTTTTAGTCTATTGCACTAGTAAATTACTTGTTTTAATTATTATATACGTATTTTTTTTTATATATATATTTGTTTTTATTAACACTTTCTTACTTTTTTTTCTCCCTCCTTCTTTCATCTCTTATTTGTGTTTCCTTCTTTTATTCATCCTCATAAACAACTATTTACTCCTTTTATTTGTAGATTATGTTTCTTTTAAATCTTCTTACGTATGCTAATTTCTATTAACTCTAAATCAAATAATTTTGAAGTTAATTATGAAGTTTGAATGTGTTTATCAATCAAGATGAGGTAACCTGCAAATAATACTTTATGTTTGTACTCCTTGTAAGGGCGTTTGGTTACAACATTTTAATCTTACTACAACACTTAGAAACATGAAAGTGTATTTAAAAGTTTTTATATCACAAAGTTTTTTCCACGCATATTGACACAAAAAATAATTGCCTAATGTAGCAATGCATGGCAAAAAAAGAATTTGTTTTCAAATTTCTAGTGTTTTAGCAACCATCAATTTGTATGACAATTGTAACACTATGTTTTAGTTAATTATATGAAATTTATATGATTAATTGTTATTTTGTTTTAATTACTCTTATTTTAAGAACTTTAGGGATTAAGGAATCTTTGAAAGTTAAGTTGTTTTTGAAATAGTTTGAACCAGAGTTAAATTGGTTTAGTTTAAAAAATGGTATATAAGATTTTTCTTAAGATGTAATTTTCATCAATTCTTAACAGAAGTTACAAAGAAGTTAGTAAGAAGTTTTGGAACTGAAGAAGATTCTCACTTTCTTTTCTTCTTTCGAAATTTCAGAAACTCCTTCCTTAGCTAGGCAACAACAATATGATGTTGGATTCAAAGCTTAGATGTCAAGAAATTCGAAGTTGGGGATTGTATGGATCAAGTTTCACTTCCTTCTACCTCAATTCTTCTCTTTTGGATCAACTAGAGGTAAGAGAAGTATGTGAGTTGAATTATTGTTGATGAATATTTGTTGTTTTGTTGTTTTGGATTCTTCATGACATGATTGAGTTAGTGAAAAGTGGAATTTAAAATGTTGTAGAACAGTGCTCTTAAAATGGTGTTCTTGAGTGACTTGGGTGATTTAGTTTTTTAGTAGTTGCATGTGATATATGGTGCTGGATTTAGGTTGTATGAATAGTGTATGTGTTAAAATCAATATTGCATGTTGTTGAGCTAGTTTAAATGTAAGTTTTGAGCCAAAGTGGGATTTTGCCAAGTGTGGAAATTCTCATCACACTAGGTGTGATGTGCAAAAATAAAATGTGATAGTCTAAGTTGTATAATTGTTGAAGTATGATGGTTCACTTATATGAATGATGATATATGATGGTGTTTCAAGTTACTAAAGCTGTAAGTTAATAGTTGATTGAATGTTGATTAAGTTGTTAAGTTATTAGGCATGTGATAAAAATACATGTCTTAGTTGAGATACATAAAAAATAACAAAATGTTAAGTTATTTTGAAAATTAAAATATCTCATTATGCAAATATAGGTTGTAGTGCTTCGGGAGCCCAAATTGAGAATCCTTTAATAAGTAAGTTGACTTCTAAATGGGTAGTTATTTTAAGTTATCTCCTCTAAGTTTTATATGAAATTCATATGTGTATAAAGTGACCATCTGAGTAAATACAAAGTTAATAGGTAAAATCTTTAATTGATTGCTGAAAATGTGCATAGTATCTAAAGGGTAGTTGATGGACTAATCCCATATGAGACTTACATATGCTTGTTAAGATCATGGTAGGCTCATACAAAGTTGTTCTACCCTCGTAGTAGTACTAAATTTTCCTAGTTTAAGTGGAAAAATTTGAGAAATCAATTTAAGTTGTTTAACTAACACTCTCAGAGACTTAACATTATTTATACTTGACTTGGTTGTGATAAGTCAAACGTAGTTCAATAGGATCTAACCACATAGACTACTTACATTTGTTATAAGAGATCTTCATGATTGATATGCGTGATGATGCATTAGTTGTTTAAAGATGTTTATGTTGATAACGTTGGTTGTGTTGAAAGTTGTTAAGTCATGTTGCATTGAATGTCAATTGCGTTGTCTATGGTGTATTGTTGTAATCTTATGTTATTGATTCTTTCACAAACTTATACTTTCTTTACTTTGTGGTTGAAACTACAATAATCATACTAAGTATGGGATTAAGACATGATTAACAGGATGACTTGGTTAGCTGGCGAAGGGTCATGCTGGTGGTGGCCAAGTGTTGGTGATGCTACTCTAATGTAGCATGATTGTTGTATAAATGTTTGACTAACAATTGAGGATATTTTGTATGTAGTTTTATAGTTTATGTAGATTGTATATATGTACAAGACATATATGTAATCACATAAGGGAATTTTTCTTTTAAGTCATATGTGTAGGAACTATTTTATGTTTTCTACCATACTGTTAGTCACTTAGCCTCAATTAACTTAAGAGGGGGGGTGAATTAAGTTAACCAAATTTCCTCTTGTAAAAACTTTCCGAATTATTTTCTTACAAATTTAATTCCTTATATAAATTTATATGTAAAGAATGAATAATGATGCAAACTACACAATTACAATTAATAACATGAAATTAAAAGAGTAGGGAATTTTATATCACAAAGTTTTTTC